TCTTCTTTCATTCTTAATTTTTATAATTTGAATTATTTTCCTTTTTTCTTTGTCAGTCTAGCCAAATGTTAACCTTTCTGTTGATCTTTTTAAAGAACCAAATTTTGGTTTCATTGATTCTATTGTGTTTAGTCTTATTAAAAAAATTGAAGCTAGTTATGTACATTATTTAAATAATCTAATTCTTTACAAGGCTTATCTACTGTTGTTAGAAAAAGTAACAGTACTAATTTTCTTGAGCCAAATTGCTTTCTTAAGCCCTAGAAATAACCATTTTCATTTTCAACTTTCTGAGACAATTTTAAAAATCTGTATCTCTCAAAAATATTTTTATATTCCTATTTGATTTTCCAGGTTTATGCATTGTGTATTGACTTCCCACTGGAGAATATCATCATTTAGTTTTAATTCTTGCTTGTGTCCATTTTATGTAGTTTATGTCAGGGTTCTTGTTTGTGGAGTTGAAGAATGAATTTCGCAAACACCCAAGGTAGGAGAGTCAGGGAGAAGCTTTCATTAAGAGATACATGCCCACGGCAGCTCAGGGGATTAACCTGGAGGCTGCTCCTGGTATGCGGGTAACCGACACAGGTAGCGGAGACGGCAAGGTGACCAGCAAGCAGGAAGGCACTTTCTTCTCCCAGCTGACACATGCGCTACCTGCCTACAACTACCTCTATCTCCATGAAAAGGCAGAAGAATTTGGTCCAGTCAAGAATCACCTGGACAACCCCTGAGGGCCTGGGGAGATAGATATAACCAATCTTCCTGAAAAAGAATTCAGAATAAAGGTCATAACCATGCTGATGGACCTGCAGAGAATTATGAAAGAGCTAAGGGATGAAGTCAGGAGGGAGATTACAGAAATGAAACAATTTCTGGAAGGACTTAAGAGCAGACTGGATGAGGTGCAAGAGACTGTAAATGGAGTAGAAATAAGAGAACAGGAATACAGAGAAGCTGACGCAGAGAGAGATAAAAGGATATCCAGGAATGAAAGAATATTAAGAGAACTGTGTGACCAATCCAAATGGAACAATATCCACATATAGGGGTACCAGAGGAAGAAGAGAGATAAAAAGGGATAGAAAGTATCTTTGAAGAAATAATTGATGAAAACTTTCCCAAATTGGGGGAGGAAATAGTCTCTCAGATCATGGAAGCCCACAGATCTCCCAACACAAGGGACCCAAGGAGGACAACACCAAGACATATAATAATTAAGATAGCAAAGATCAAAGACAGGGACAGAGTATTAAAGGCAGCCAGAGAGAAAAAAGATCACCTACAAAGGAAAGCCCATCAGGCCATCATCAGACTTCTCAACAGAAACCTTACAGGACAGAAGAAAATGGCATGATATATTTAATGCAATGAAACAGAAGGGCCTTGAACCAAGAATACTGTATCCAGCATGATTATCATTTAAATATGAAGGAGGGATTAAACAATTCCTAGACAAGCAAAAGTTGAGGTAATTTGCCTCCCACAAACCACCTGTACAGGGTATTTTAAAGGAACTGCTTTAGATGGAAGCACTCCTAAGGCTAAATAGATGTCACCTGAGAAAATAAAATCACAGCAAAGAAAGCAGATCAACTTCACAAAAGGAGTCAAAGGAAACACAAAAGAGTACAGAATAAAACACCTAACATATAAAGAATGGAGGAGGAGGAATAAGAAGGGAGAGAAATAAAGAATCATTACACTGTGTTTATAATAGCTTAATAAATAAAAAGGCATCCTACAGTATGGGAGAATATATTTGTAAATGACATATCTGACAACAGGTTAACATCCACAATATATAAAGAACTTACATGCCTCAACACCCAAAAAGCAAATAACCTGATTAACAAATGGGCAGAGGATATGAAGAGACAGTTCTCCAAAGAAGAAATTCAGATGGCCAACAGACAGATGAAAAGATGCTCCACATCACTAATCATCAGGGAAATGCAAATTAAAAGCACAATGAGATATCACCTCACACCAGTAAGGATGGCCACCATCGAAAAGACTAAGAACCACAAATACTGGCGAGGATGAGGAGAAAGGGGAACCCTCCTACACTGCTGGTGGGAATGTAAGGTAGTTCAACCATTGTTGAAAGCAATATGGAGGTTCCTCAAAAAACTGAAAATAGAATACCATTTGATCCGGACTCCCACCCCGTGGAATTTACCCGAAGAATACAACTTCTCAGATTCAAAGAGACATATGCACCCCTGTGTTTATCGCAGCACTTTTTACAATAGCCAAGATATGGAAGCAACCTAAATGTCCATCAGTAGATGAATGGATAAAGAAGAGGTGGTACATATACACAATGGAATACTACTCAGCCATAAGAAAGAAACAAATCCTACCATTTGCAACAACATGGATGGAGCTGGAGAATATTATGCTCAGTGAAATAAGCCAGGAGGAGAAAGACAAGTGCCAAATGATTTCCCTCATGTGTGGAGTATAATAATGAAGCAAAACTTAAGGAACAAAAGAGCAGTGGACTCAGAGACTCCAAGAATGAACTAGTGGTTACCAAATGGGAGAGGTTTGGGAGGGTGGGTGGGGATGGAGGGGTAAGAGGATGGGGGGGGAAAAGGGGATGGAGGTGTATTATGTTTAGTACACATGGTGTGGGGGATCATGGGGAGAACAGTGTAGCACAGAGAAGGCACATAGTGGATCTGTGGCATCTTGCTGCACTGATGGACAGTGACTGCATTGGGGTATGGATGGGGACTTGATAATATGGGTAAATGTAGTAACCACATTGTTTTTTCATGTGAAACTTTCATAAGAGTGTATATCAATAATACCTTAATTTAAAAAAAAGGGCTAGGGGTGTGGACTTGTTAAGTGGTCTCAAGTATCTTTGATGTGACATTAAGTTAATCAGTCCTTTAGGTTATTCTGCAAAATTAGCATAACACAAGAAATTTACTGCTTTGGTCCCCTCCCAGGATAACAGCTTCCTGGTTTGGGAGCATATCAATCAAGACTGTCTGCCCTTCCTCCAAGGTGGGCAGAGCTATTTGTTTGCTAAGGAGTATGTTAAGAACTTTTCTTTTTAACTTCCTGGTTTTTTTAAAAACTGCAGTTTTGGCTTTAAGGTGGGATTTGCCTGTCTTTATCATGCTGTTTATAGGTGGGCCTTTTAGCAGGCTAGAGTAAATCTTACAATGGCACAATTAAGACATGGGCTGTGCTCAGATACTTCTCTTTATCTGGGGAATATTCAGACATTCAAGGCCAAGTTCTTGTTGACCTTTTGAGCTTAAACTGATTAACTCTAACACTGAGTCTTTTCTGGCTTTCCAGTTTTAACTGGTGAGTCCTTTCTAGGGGGTTTTACTAACCTTGTTCTCGTTCCCCCTGGCTCTTATCTATTTTCCTGCCTAACAGGGTCAGCATCTTAACATCTTTTTCACCTTGCTGGTTAGATTCTTCAGGGAGGACCCTTCCAATCTGTTTGATTGCCATTGTTCTGGCAGACAAGAAGTGTTAGAGGACCAGAGCTCTTATTTGTTATATAACTTTTTACTTGAGTCTCTTGTTTATAGAATGGCGTCCTTAGTCCATTTGTATCTTATGTCTCTAATCCAGAGACATTCTATTTTATCTTTTCCAGGGAATAAATCCCTATCTAGTGTTATGCCAGAGTGGGGAAGAGATCACATCAGTACCCAGTGGTGTAGTGCATAGGGTAGAGGATCTGAGGGTCTCATTAGTTCTTTGGCAGAATTTCAGCCAGTTCTCCTGCTTTCTGTTCTAGTTATACCCCATTTTCAAAAGGTTTGCCAGTGAACTGAGCTTTGTGGGGCTCCAATGTAAATCAGGTTGTTTTCCTCACTGTACCTTTGAATTCAACTCATATGTAAGTCAGTACCACTTGTCCACCTGCTTTCTAGCTTCTAATGCATTATTATCTCATTGTCTGTACTTTTTCTCCTTGTGGATTTACAACTTTAAATTCTTTGGTGTTATTTTAATTTTAATTTTGGGGAGAGAGAATGCTTTAGTCTTCCATTTTTAAGCAGTTATATGTATTCCCTTATCTGTAATTTTTCTTTTTGTAATATTGATGCCAGGGTTCCTTTTCACAAAGCTGAAGAATGTGTCTTTACGAGCAGTCGAGGTAGGAGAGCCAGGACAGAGGCTTTATTTAGAATTAAAGTGAGAGGAAAGAGCTCCTGGCTCATGCCAGGAGGAGATAGGAGAGCCCAGGGTGCTGCATTGTCTAGGGGATTTATAGGCAGTTGAGGATTTTTGGGAAGTGAAAAAAAAGGCTTAGGGGTGTGGACTTGTACCACCTGCCCCTTCCTCAAGATGGGCTGGGTTGTTGTCTGTTTGCTCGAGCTGTTTACAGTGAAGTCACGGGTTATGCTGAGATACCCTTGCAGAACACTCAAACATTCCAGGCCAAGTTGCTCCTGGCCTTTTGACTTTTAACTGATCTTACTGAAGATGTCTATATTCCTAGTCTAGTATCTTTACCCTAGAGAATTAGTCTGACCTTCAGTTTGCATAATGCTGAACACAGAGTTTCCATAGGGACTTTACATTGTTACATTGCTTTGACTAAATATCTTGCCTTGATTTTTCCGGAGGCCCTCACCCTACTCTTTCTAAGCCCATGGTCCCTGTCTCAATATGTATTATGTTTGCAATAAGTAAAATATATTATTTAAAAAGGTAAAAAGGAAAGAACTGAATCTTTTTCAAAACTACCCAGCTTGTGATACATCCAGACAGCCTTTAAATACCAGTCTTGAATAACGTGGTGTTTTCCCAGTGGCTAGTGGCTAGTTTCTAGTAATATCGCTTTGCATTTCTATCTAGCTTTTGAAAACAACATCTTCTACTAGACTGTAAATGTCTTTAGGGCAAGGATCATATCACATTCCCTGTGTTTTTTTAAAAAATAAGTTATCAGAAATAGAAGAAATCTTGAGAATATATTAAATGAGAACTATATTTATGATCTCATTTTATAGGTTGAAGAATGCCTCATCTGATGTAAAACAAGTGCTTAAAAGTGAAACAGACTTGGATATTACTGCTGATCTCAGAAGGAAACTCCATCATGCTAAGAAAGAAAAATTAGAGATAACAGCTAAGCACAATGCAGAGGTAGACTTTATTTTCCTCTCAAATAATGTTAAAAGTAGAATTTGATTATTTTAGATTAATTTTCTATTACAAACTCCATGTTTAATATTTACCCATTTAGCACCATAACATTTTTGTACTTAAGGGAATTATAATAAAACATGTTTTTTTTTTTTTTTGAGAGGGCATCTCTCATATTTATTGATCAAATGGTTGTTAACAATAAAATTCTGTATAGGGGGGTCAATGCTCAATGTACAATCATTAATCCATCTCAAGCCTAATTCTCGTCAGTCTCCAATCTTCTGAAGCATAATGAACAAGTTCTTACATGGTGAACGAATTCTTACATAGTGAATAAGTTCTTACATGGTGAACAGTACAAGGGCAGTCATCACAGAAACTTTCGGTTTTGATCATGCATTATGAACTATAAACAATCAGGTCAAATATGAATATTCGTTTGATTTTTATACTTGATTTATATGTGGATCCCACATTTCTCCCTTTATTATTATTATTATTTTTATTTTTATTTTTAATAAAATGCTGAAGTGGTAGGTAGATGCAAGATAAAGGTAGAAAACATAGTTTAGTGTTGTAAGAGAGCAATTGTATATGATCATGTGTGTGCCTGTAGACTATGTGCTAATCCAAGCTAGACAAGGGTGATAAAACATCCACGGATGCAGAAGTAAAACATGTTTTTTTATATACTGGAATTGTATAGGAGTGTTAAAAGTAGAAATTCAATGAATTATTATGTATATTTGTATGTTCTCTTAAATTTATTTTAATGGGTCAAACTTGATAAGTTGGTGAATATGTTTGGTGACTAAAGGATTTATAAACTAGACATTAAAAAAATTTCAATGTAGGTTCCTAATGGTCTTGATCGTGGAGCAATCTTTCTTAAATAAGTAGATTTGAATATGGAATTTTTAATCTTAGTATAATTGACAAATCATCTTAGTTTCTTTTTGTTTTATTGTATCTTTTACTTTATTACTGTGTGTATATGTATTTAAATATATGTGTTTCATATGTATATATATATTCCAAGAACAGTAGTTATCTTTCCTTCTCAGATAATTCATGAATCATGTTTATGTCTTTTCTGTTGTGTTTTTTCTGTTTTCTCCTTTTTTTCTATTTAAAGCTCATCGTAGACAGCCTGGTATAGTAGAAAGAATATTAAGTTGCACAGACCTGTACTCATTGTTGGCCCTTCCATTTGTAAGATATGTGGCCTTGGCCAGGGTATTTATCCTATACATTATTGGTTTCTCATGGTGAAATGCTGTCCCAAAGGGTTGTTGTGATACTTAAGTGAAATAAAATTTGTGAGGTTCCTGTCACTATAATAGTAGCTGTAATTTATTGACAGTTTAAACAGTGTGTTTTCCTTCCCTTTTTGCTAAATTCTGATGCTGGTCTGTCTGGAAAATTTTTAAAGCCTCCCTAAGTGAAACTGATTACTCTTCGCTTTGCTGTCCCATAAAATGTTGCTGTCATGTTTGAGAGCTGAGCAGTGACTGTGCTTAGAGTCTGCCTGTTTCACTTTGTTTACTGGCACACAGTAGGTCTTCAGTGGCTGTGTGATTTATTTCAGGATATTTAAGGAACAGTGGTTTTTAATTAAAATAACAAGGAATGAATCATGACTATTTTATTTGTATTTTTAGTGGCAACTGAAGTAATTTGAAAGAGGTAATTGAAGTAATTGCTTTTCTTTACACTATAATATTATGTACTGAATATAAACAAGTATTTATTAAATGTATGCTAATTATTCATAATCTCCAAAATGTATTTTTAAAACCAAATATGAATTTTACATGAGAATATTAGTGTCATGATAATCATTAATCTATTAAATATATTCCTTCACATATATTTGCAGTTGTCATCAGATTTCTCTTAGCAGTTGTCATCAGATATCTCTCTTATTTGATCAAAATGTTTTGAAATACGTGTTCACATTAAAGAGATAGAAATTATCTCAGGGAAGAAAGAGACTTTTCTCAAAATAGGCAGTTATAATTGGTTCATCTCCAGGTTTATATTACAACTCATGCTTATTGTTTCAGCTATGATTTTACTCATATTGTGTAGTAATTTTTTTAGCCATGCAATCTCCAGATATGCCAATTATAAAGTAAGGCAGAGAAGAATGAAACTATCTAAAAACTAAAGCTATATATTTGCCTTACCAGATACTCTTAATGCTGATACATATCATGCTGGGTGATTGGCACAAAAGATCTTTAAAACCTAGGTGTTCATTAATGGATCAATGGATAAAGAAAATGTGATACACATATATGTGTATATATGCATATACACATATGTACATAGCAATGGAATATTATTCAGCCATAAAAAAGGAAATCCTTTCCCTCATTTGTAGAGTATAACAACAAAGCAAAACTGAAGGAATAAAATAGCAGTAGACTCACAGACTCCAAGAACGGACTAGCAGTTACCAAAAGGGAGGTGTAGAGGAGGGTGGGTGGTGAGGGAGAGAGAAGGGGATTGAGGGGTATTATGATTAGTTCACATGGTGTGGTGGGGTTGTCATGGGGAAGACAGTGTAGCACAGAGAAGACAAGTAGTGACTCTGTGGCATCTCACTACACTGATGGGCAGTGACTGCAGTGGGGTATGGGGGTTGATAATATGGGTGAATGTAGCAACCACATTGTTTTTCTTGTGAAACCTTCATAGGAATGTTTATCAATGACACCTTAATAAAGTAAAAAGGAAATCTTGCCATTTCTGACAATGTGGATGGACCTTAAGGGCGTTACAGTAGGTGAAATAAGTCAGACTGAGAAAGACAAAAACCATATGATCTCACTTATATATGGAATCAAGAAAACAAAACCAAAAACCAAGCTCATAGATACAAAGAATAAATTGGTGGTTGTCAGAGGTTGGGTGTAGATAGGGCACAGTGGTTGAAGGAGGTGAAAAGGTAGAACTTTGCAGTTATAAAACAGTCATGGGGTTGTAATGTACAGCATGGTGACAGTAGTTAATACTATTTTGCATATTTGAAAGTAGCTAAGAGAGTAGATCTTAAAGTTCTCATCACAAGAAAAAAATACAGCTGTGTATAGTGACAGATCTTAACTATAATTATTGTGGTGATCATTTTGACAATATGTACAAATATCAAAAGATCACATTGTTACCTGAAACATGTTATATGTCAATTATGACTCAGTAAATAAAATATCTTTAAAATGACTTAATTAGGAATTTTATTGTTATGGGTTCTTGGACAAGTTAATATTTTTGAGTCTCAATTTTCTTTGCTAGGTATAGACGTAATAGATTACTGTTGAGAAGATTTATTAGTGGGCAGAGCCTGTGGAGGGAGGAGTTGTTTGTAGACTCACAGCTTCCAGATGAGACTGAGTGGCACTGATGGGGATGATTGGGGTGGGACAACGCCACCAGGTTTTCATTGTTGCAGTGGTTCTGATAATCATTTGAGTCTAATAATACACATGTGAAACAGGACAAGAGACTGTGCAGCTATTGAGATAGCTCATAGGCCCAGGCAGTGATGATAGAGGAAAAAAATCTTCTAGAGGAAAGAGGTTGGGAGAGGATAAAGAAGAGCAATGTAACCTTTTTTAACCAAAAGGTACTGGAAACCTAGGACCAAGCAGTAGGCTTTTTAGGTTTCAGGACCTATAGATGTCTTATCCTGTATATTTTTAAAAAATGCATTTAATTATATTATTCTGAGGAGGCTTTGCTAGATTGTTGAAGAGGGTCATGGTGTTAAAATGTTGGAAAACCTTTCTTTTAGAGGCTGAGACATGCTGTAGAGGGCATAAAGGAAGATGACATGGAGAAAAGGTTCTAAGATAGCTGGTTGGGTATAAAGACTGATGAGAAGGCAGATGTGTTTTTAAAAGAAGGGAGATGCCATTCTGATGCTCTTGCATGTTTCAGTGCATGTTGAACCTTAAGTTAGAAAACAGCCTCTGAGCAGAGCATATATGTCTGTCAGCTATGTGGGTAGCTCTGGAAATCAAATAAAGTCCAGTCAGGCAAAAAGAGGGACATTAATAGAGGGAATTGCTTGTACAGGTGATGTAAGCCCTAGGAATCCAAACAAGGAATGATGAGGCCTGGAGATTAGTAACACCAGGAAGTAACCACCACCTGTAGGCCAGAGGGCAAGTGGGAGGTGATGGGACAAGAATCCAGAAGCTGGGGCTGTCTGGTGGGAGGCAGACACTGTTAAGGCAGTGTTGGGATGTTTGGATGGTGGGGATGGGAGCAGGAACCTCAAAAGAGATGCAGCTACTGCCAGAGCTGCTGCCAGAAGTAGAGCCATTTGGCAGTGGAGGATGGGAATTTTAGTTCCTGTGATACAGTAGAGTAGAGCAAAAGGAGGGGTTGGGAATGGATCAAACGGCCCACCTTTGGCTCTTCTGCATTCCTATCACTCTTCTAGCATGTGTAATTCCCCTACAATAGTATTGTTCCTGCGTAGCGACTCAGGTGCGATCTCTATAAAGGTGCTTTTGCTCTCTCCAGAATGGGTGGCAAAAAGGCTCATTAGTCACTGCATCCATCTCACGGATGGTACATGTTCTCACTGTCAGATCCTTATAATTTGGTGCCTTATGAATATAATCGAAAAGTTAAACATTACCAACCTTCTTTATAATGCCAGAAGAGAGGAACAGAGGAACAGAGAAAAGAATCACTAACAGATACATATAACATTTATCCAGAGCTGCCGCACTTCTTATTTATTACTAGAACTGGTCCTAAGGTTGTAAGTTAATACTCATCACTTCTTCCACAACTGGTTACATGTTTTTGTTACCCTCTGCCAGCATTTCCCTTGGTGGAGCGACCAAACCTTCATTCTTGAAAAGTCTGGTTCTTTAATGGTGCTGCCTCTGTGGAATCTCTGTAGAGATGGAAGTACTAAGCGTCACATCAGTGAATCCTCAGGCTTCCGTGCTTTCCCTGCCGCACTACCCTCTTAGTGATCAGGATTAATTGCCCTTGCCAATATAGTGACTCCTTTCTAAGTGTATGATTCAGTGACTTTACTTATATTCATAGTGCAACTATCACTAGTATCTACTTTCAAAATTTTTTATCCACAGAAATGTGTACCCGTTAAACAATAACTCCTCAGCTCTGCCTCCTCCCAGCCCCTGGTAACCTCTAATCTACTTTCTGTTTTTGTGAATTTGTATATTCTAGATGGATACTTCATGTAAGTGGTACCATACGATATTTGTTCTTTTGTGTCTGGCTTATTTTACTTGGCATAATGTTTTCAAGGTTCATCCATGTCGTAGCATGTATCAAAATGAATCAGTCACCTTGTGGAAGTATTCAGTCTTTGGGAATTAAGATCTCTTTAAAAGATCAAAGCCCAAAGTTTCAAAGAGGGAAAAACTCAAGTGAGTTATTAGAGGCTAGGTTATTAGAGAGAGGCCACTCCCACTTTCACCCTTTATTTCCTGGATCTGTGTAGGGGAGACACAGTACATACATATCAGTCTCCAGTTCAAAGCTCCTACCTTGCTCATTGGGAAGGGCTTGTGGGAAGAGTTACAGTGTATTCTTGTGGCAGTTCTGTCACAAGGGGCTTTAGTAAAGGTGTCTGGAAACTGATGGAACGGTATGAGTCCATATTTTGGAGGCTCAAGTCATGATTCTGCCCAGTAGACTTAGCTTTTTTTGTTTTTCCTTTGTTTAGATCAAATAATGCTTCAGAAGAGCTTTTCCAATATGGTGACCACTTGTCACATGTCTTTTAACCTTGAAATGTGACAAGTCTGAATTAGATGTTCTATAAATGTTAAATGCTGGATTTCATAAACTTAGTACAACAAAGAATATAAAATATCTCACTAATAATTTTTCATATTGATTATATGTTGAAATAGAGATAATGTTGGATATTATTCAGTTAGATAAGTTATTTTAAAATTAATTTCACATGTTTACTTTTACTTTTTAAAATATTCCTACTAGAATATTTAAAATTACACATGAGACTTGCATTGTATATCTATTGGCCATTGCTGCTTTAGAAGGCTGCCCATCTTTTTAATTCCTATGTACACCCTGATCAATTACATATCCCTGCAATTACCTGGAGGCCAAATGCTATAATTGCTACTGTACTCCTGCTGCCCATTATAGTAACTGTGCTCACCTTGCCACCACTTGGCTTGCTACTCTGGAACTCATATTTTGATAGAAATGGGGGAGTGCATCTCAATTGTGACATGTCCCACCATTATCTCCACCCTCTACTATTATCTCTGGCATGTAGATGTTAGCCACCAGAGCTTTCCAAGCTTGTGCTGTCTACTCCAGTGTATTTTGTAGCATTTTAATTAGGAAAAGAATGCCGTTTGGGTTCTCAAAGAGGATGCAGTTGGGGGAAGGGGAGGTTTATAAACCATTTCTACCTCCTTAAAATCTCCATTTTATGTCAGGAAAGTACTAGCATTTTGACCTTATTAAGTGATTGTAGGCTGATGTTGAATGCAACTTAATTCATTACTCATCCAAGCAAACTGTTAGAGCTAACTGATTAAATCCAAACCAGTTCTAAATATGTTTTGCAGGTTCCTAATACAAGATTAGCAAGGTCTTGCATTTCTTTTGCTGTATGTTATTTTCTCCTGGAGCAGAAAGTGCATTTCTCCTCCTATGGCATACTGAGATCTGAGTTTATGGTGACAATGTGTGGTGGAGGTGGGTCTTGCAAATAAATGTAAGACATTGCTTCAGGGATGGCCATTACTAAATCTTTTATTAAGGAATGGGGAATTACCTCAGACAGGGAGGAGAAGCTGCTTTTGTTGGTAAGAGATGTGTTTAGGAGGGCTTGGGGACTTTACAGTTTGGAAGTTTGTCTAATTCCAAATCCTCATTCCATCTCCTTCCTTCCTTCTTATTGCCCAAATGATACATATCATCTTAACATTAGAAACTTGGTGAGGCCATTCATTCAACTTGTTCTGTAATTATGCAGTCCTCATAAGAAATAAGAGACTCTTAAAGTCAACACAGAAACTCTCTGGTTTTCTGTCTGTTTTGAGCTGAGATCCTAAGGCCCTAAGATTATCACTTGGTTTTTATAAATTCTCTAGCATAGTCAGACTTCGTCTTCCCACTCTACGGGTCTTGTGTAAATGGTGCTTCTGTAATAGTCAAGTGCAGATGCAACTTAATTTCCAAAGTCTTGTCCTCAGCTGACACTATTCTAAACAACTGCACATGATAATTTAAACAATTGTGATCTAGGTCTTTCACTCTTAAGTCTTTCAACAAAGGGACATTAGTAGAGGGAATTGATTTCAGAGGTACTAGAAGAGCTGAAAAGACAAATAGGGGATGTTATGGCAACCCAGAGGGTCACAACGTTTAGAATGCTACTTCCACTCCTAAGGTTGACAAAAGCCAGAACTGTTTGAAAGAGAGCAAGGCTCGTGGAGGGATGGATTATCCAGAAGCATCTGTAGCCATAGGGAAGACAGAGATGCTGCCTTGAGTTAGGTCTAGAGTGGGAGAAATACCCTGGCTTCTCTTCTCTTGCTCTCAAGTATACCACAAGTGCCTTTTTTTGGCCAAACTTTTGACTACTGAGAAGCCAGTTGTCAAGGAGCCTGGGAAATACAGTTCCTACAATCCAGAGCAGAGCTGGAGCAAGATAGGAAGCAGACCTGAGGGTAAACAGGTAAATGACGCACACAGTTGGGAATGCCCATGTGGTAACAAGTTTATTCTCATAGGGAAGAAAAGACTGGGCTGGAAGGGATGGAGTGATTCTGAAACAAACAAAATTATCTTGAATATGTAACTTAAGTTCTATGATTTTTTTCTTCATTAAAACATTTGTAAATTCTTATTTTCTAAGTATAAGTGTTTTGAAGATGTTTACTTTTGTAAAATTTTTAAAAATGAAAATTATTCTCTTTATATTTGAAAAACAGTATAACTTCTCTGTACTCTACATATTAACAGCTACTTATGGTAATTTCTGATGTTGCTCTTCAGAAATTATTTTTTCTTTTCTCATTTGATAATTGGACCATCAATTTCTAGCCTGGTATAGTAGCTCAGTGCTCTCCTACATGATATATTTCTAGCATTTTCCTTCATCCACCATCTCTTTCTCTCCTACCAGTGATAAATAATTTTGCTCTTCTTTGAACTATCGTAACAACTTTACTGTTTTATAAAACTTACCCCGTATGCTTTTCTATAGCATTTTATTACTTAGATCAGGAGCTCTATAATGTTTGTTTTGATATCTTTCACTATACATGACACATAGCAAGTGTTTAATATTGTTAAATGAACCATTGATTAGATCATATAATTTTAGAGTGGGAATGAATGAACTTTATAAATCATCAAGTTCGAATTCTATGACTTATCTTCTGTCACTGCTACTCATAGAATATTAGATAAATTAGATCTGGTTAATAGATATCTAATTATCTAGATATTAGATAAATTAGATATTAGTTCATTAAAATCCCTGCAAAATTGTCACCTTTATTATGTTATGCTTTATCAATAATGTCATAATCAAGATAAGTAATAGACAATATTTACTAAACTACTTTGATGCAACTTGCTTTTTGATTTCATTTAGGGAATAAGATGGGAGGAGAGAATGAATTTTTAAGTGCTGACTACATGTTATGCATTTTTTTCATTTCTTATGTATGACTTTCTGATTAAAATTTGTAATTTTATTTTTATGAGCAGTTCATGTAAGAATTTTTTTTCCATTTTTTTCAAATGTAAGAATTTTTTTTTGTTTTCATCTTAGTTCTCTAAAGAAAATTGATGAGTATCATTTGGTGATTAATGCTAGTGCTTCCTTCCCAGTATTTTAGGAAGCATAAACTTACGAATGAATTCTTATCTTATAAATATTATAAAAAGCAGATTTGTTAAAGAAATCGAGATGTTTGGGTTCATGATCTCATAATCTTAGAGACATATTTTAATATTGCTTCATGATGTCAGAAATCTGTTTTTAGCTGGCAAGCTGTGAGAGCCAGATTGCCAAGCTACGATCTGAAGTTGAAAAAGGAGAAGCCTTTCGACAAAGTCTGGAGTATGACCTGGCTGTTGCTAGAAAGGAAGCTGGTCTTGGAAGACGGGCTGCTGAAGAAAGATTAGCAGAGGCACACAGGATCCGAGAAGAACTCTGTGGTGAGACTCTTTCCATTTCTTCCCATGTTTATGGTTGTGACCTCCTCGTATGTCATTGCTCACTGTTGTGTATACATTCCATCTGGGGTCAGAGGTGGGGTTTTGATTCTTTGGCTTTTAACGGACACACTTTGTTGGGTGTATGTAAAGTTTGCTTTTTTTTTTTCATTTTTAGTGTTTAAAATTTTTTTTTTATTAAGGTATGATTGATATACACTCTTATGAAGGTTTCACATGAAAAAACAATGTGGTTTCTACATTTACCCATATTATCACGTCCCCACCCATACCCCAATGTAGTCACTGTCCATTAGTGCAGCAAGATGCCACAGATCCACTATTTGCCTTCTCTGTGCTACATTGTTCTCCCCGTGATCCCCACACCATGTGTACTAAACATAATACCCCTCAATCCCCTTCTCCCTCCCTCCCCACCCACTGTAAAGTTTTCTTTATGTGAACATTCATCTACTTTACACTAACTTTTTTAATGTTGTGCATGTATGGAAAAGGGGTTCAGAATTCTTTTAATTACTTTTTAGAGTACTTGTTCCAGGGATAACTGGTAGAACCACATAGGGATTAATAAAAAATTCACAGGCCTCTTATTAAATGTAGTCAGAATGAGAATTTATATGTTGAAGCACTGCAGGTGATTCTGCTGAGTCACTAGGTTTAGGAACCACAAGGTAGAGTGTGTGCCTAGAAAAGAAAAGTCAGTGGGCTCAGTCCCCAAAACCTATTCCTGTACAGCATATGGACATTTAAAAATCTTTATAAGTTTCGAATATATGAAGAAATGTGCCCAGATAAGTGCATAACTCATAACAAGCTCCCAGATCATAGAATGGAAAATTCCATTCAGTGAGTCCTTTAACATGGATAACTACTATCCTGCTTTTTAATAGTGAGAGTTAATTTTGTCTTTTTCTTGTACTTTACATAAATGGAATCACATAGTATATATACTCTTTTGTATCTGGTTTCTTTCCTTCAACACTGTGTTTGTGAGTTTATCTATATTGTTGTATAAACTTTATGTTGACATTTACTATTATATTGAGTGAACATGAAATATATATTGAGTGAATATTATATATACTATATATTATCTACCACACTTATATTTATCCATTTCTATTGATGGATATTTGGGTTGTGTTCAGTTTTTGGTTATTAAGAATAATGTTGTTATGAACACTCTTGTGCACAGCAAGTTTTAATTAAGAGAACACTGAACGTGAATTCCGAAGATTTAGATTTAGGTCCTGGTGCTACCACTTAGTGATATCTGAACCTAGGCTGTTTTAAGGATGAAATGAGAAAATGAAAGTGCTTTGTTAACCACGTGGGGCTAAACAAATATTGTTATAATTATTGTAAGGTTATGGTTCCTAGTCTTGGCCAGTTGTCTTGGGTTATTTCCATTTGTCAGAAGTATTTTTGATTACCTCTGACATTAAGTAATTACACCACTACCTGAAATTTAGGATTACAAGAATTGAAAGGCACTAGATATACAAGTTAGTAACTTTCATATAATTGTGAAGAAATTGAAGTCCAGGAAAGATGGGAAGTTATTTGTGCAAAGGTAAAAGATTTCAACAGAAACCTTATGGAAGAAGATAAAAGAATGGCCCTTAATCATATGAAAAATGCTTAACCTCCCTTGTCACCAGAGAAATGCAATTAAAACCACAGTGACTGTTACTACATACCCATTTGATGGCTGTAATTGAAAAGACTGTCAATATCAAAAGTTAGAATGTAGAGCAACTGTAACTCGTATACTTTGTTAGTGGGAGAGCAAAGCAGTACAACTACTTTGGAAAAAAACCCCGGCAATTTCTTTGATAATAAACATACATATATCACCTATGACTTAACAGTTTCACTCTTTATTATTACCCCCTGAGAAACATTTGCCCACAAAAAAACTTGTATAAGAATTTTCATAATAGCTCTATTCATGACAGCCCAGAGTTAGAAAAAACCCCAAATGTCCATTTACAAGAGAAAGAAGTAACAGTTTATATATATTTATACAGTGACATACTACTCAGCAATAAAAATGAACCAGCTACTGATACATGCAATAACATGAATGAATCTCAAAAACATGCTGAGTGCAACTTTGCATAGAAGAGCACATACTGTATGATTCATGGTTCCATTTATATGAAGTTCTAGATGAAAATACCTATTGTTGGTAAAAAAAAAATCAGAACAGTGGTTACCTCTGGGATGGGTTGGCAGTGTAGGTTAACTGAGAAAAGGTTTGAGGAAATCTTTTAGATTGAAGAACATGTTCTACATTTTAATAGGGGTTTTGGTTGCATGAGTGTATTTGTCAAATCTCTTTGAGTGGTGCACTTAAGATTTGTGCATTTCACTATTTGTAAATTTTATATGCAATAAAGTAAAACTTCCATAAATTTTAGTTAATGATATGAATATTGAATTATTTAGGAGTGAAATGAAATGTACTTATATTTGCAACTTGCTTTGAAGTACATAAAAAAGTATAGTAATCTGATGAATGGATAAATGAATGAATGCATGGATAGATGGATGGATAAATGTGTGCTGAAGCAAATATAGTAAAATGTTAACAATCAAAGAGTCTAATCTGGGTTTTTGGGTATTCACCATATAATACTTTCAACTTACTGTATTTTTTGAAAATTTCTATGAAAGAATGTGGAGAGCAGAGTTAAAAACAAAATAAGAAATTATGGGATATTAAAAGATAATCCCATGGCAACTGAGAGAATAAGAGACATGACAAGAGAGAAAATTTTGAAAGCTGGAAAGCAAATGGATGAGGGATAACTAATTTAGCAGACCTCTGAGATGTTAGAATCCTAAACCAGAAGTGGGGAAAGCTGGCAGACAGCTTGTTAGATAGTTAAAAGGCTTACGAATTAAAGCGACAGATACCTTTGAAATTAGGAAATGGAATAGCAATAGTGGGTAAAATAAAGAGAGATGAAAGCTTCTTGCTGTAGAGGACTTGGGTTCTTAGATCCCCTCCGAAAAGCATGCTCCTCTGGGAGTGCTCCCACTTCTTAGTGGGAGTCTAGAGGCTCAATCTCTGGAAGTGATATAATACTGGCAAAAACAGGAAGACAGCCTACCCACTGCTGAATATTGAGGAAATATTCCTTCCAGCTTCCTTTTTCTAGGCTTCCCAAAAAGCTAGCACCGTATGAATGTGGGAACTTAGAAGACTCTTCTGTGGGTCACCCAACCAAGTCAAGAGGAAAAACCTAATGATACTGATGTGGGGTTTCCTAATAAATGGCCCAGCCAGATCCTCTTCCAGTGAAGACCATAGTTGTCAAACTTTACCTTCAAGCTCAGAATCTTGGTGGTGGGTATATGGGTGTAAAAATGGTGTGTCACCCTTACAGTTATTCTTAACTGAGAGTAGACAACCAGGAATTACCAGATACTTGGGGAAAACCTCTAAAATGGAGAGAAAAAATTAATTTGGAAAAATCAAAAACTCTGTAGGAAGATTTAACAAATAAGTAGTGCTAATATCCTCAGAGCTGAAAGGGAGTATATTCTGTCCTAATGCCATAGCCAGTGCTATAAAAAAGAAAGGCCTTGGAATTACAAATGTGAAATCAGGCATGAAAAATGTCAGTGGAAACATTGGAAGACAAAGATAGGAAATTAAAATAAATTCTAAATCCCAGAAATTAGAGTAAAAAAAAAAAATGGGTGGAAAAATAGGAGAGTAAACGCAAGAAATTTGAGGATCATTCTGATAATAGTTAATACAGAAAGAGATAAGTGAGAAAACAGAGAAGGATAAATCATCAGTGAAATAATTTAAGAATACATCTCAGAACCAAAGGTTTAAAGGTCCATTGGATACTTACCACTATGGAAAGAACTAGACCCATGTGAAGGCAGAGCATTATGAGATCTCAGAAAAATAGAGACAAAGAGAAGATCCTAAAGCTTTGAAAGAGAAAAGAAAAGAAAAAAGGAAAGGAAAGGAGAAAGGAAAGGGACATCAATAACAAAAAAGGCCATGTGCAAAGGAATGGGAATCAAAGTGGCCTCAAGTTTCCTAACCTGCAGTACAGGGTGCTAGGCCAGGAACAATGTCTTGTGAATAGTAACTGGATGGAAGGGAGACTTTCTGTATCTTTTATACCTTTGAATTTTGAACCTTTTGAATATATAATCTATTCAAAAAACAAATATAATGTACAAATAATACTACTAACTGGAATTTTTTTCAATAAGTGTGTTCGGGCATATTTCCTCATTTTATCTTCACAACAGTTTAACTAAGATGCATTTTATTTCCACTGAGGGCTAGAGGCAGAAAGGTTTAATCAGGTGACAAGTGATGAAGCCAGACCTGGATCTAGAAAAGATGCAGAAACAGAGCAGTAGCTGCAGTGAGTTGAGAGATGTTGGTTATAGTTGAGATAATACTAGGATGAGAGGTGAGTTTCACCTAACTTTGGGGGATTAAGTAACTGTAGTTCTAAGGGTTGGAGCCATGGTCTCCAACCTCAATTTTGTGACAGGCTCATGTGTAAGACGTATCACAAGTAATTTATTACCAATAGTCAAATATCAAAATTTGTAACTATCAAGTCTTTTAAAGTCTCCCTATATGTTACAGTTTTTAATTTAAAAAAATTGATTCATTTTCCTGAATAGGATAAAAAGCAGTAGAGTTGCAGCTGGTACTAGAGGTGCATCTAAAAGTGGGCACGCCTTAAGAATATGTCAGACCATTTCATGGCCAAATCACCTTTCTCTGGAGGGGAAGAAGGGATTGAGAAATTGTAGAATAGATTGGTTCTGGAACAGTGAGCTTTTCAAGAGTTTACTGGTGTGAGGTGGCTAAATGTTTTATCCTAAGACCATGCTGTAAATGGTATCAGCTCCAAAGCCTAGGTTTCTGACCTCCTAGAGATTTAATTTGTGGTTGGAAATATACCTATTATTCTTTTATATTTTTAATAGCTCAGAATATAGAACTTCAAGGAAAGACAAATGAGATTGAGAAAGCATTCCAGACTTCCCAACAGAAATGGAAAGAAGAATGCAGAAGATTTGAATGTGATTTGGAGGGAAGAGACAATATAATTCAAAATTGCAATCGAGAATATGATTTACTTATGAAAGAAAAAAGCAGACTAGAAAAAATTCTACAGGTAAACTTATTTTATAGAGTAATTATGCTATATATAATATTAATTGAAATGTGTTATAAGTTATTTGAAGGTATCCTTGGAAAGAAAAAAACTACCAGAAAGCAAGAAAATCTGGCTTCCTCCCTTCCTCCCCCCACTCTCTCTTCTTTCCTTTTTAGGAACATTTTTGCAGGTCTCTTTTGTAATATGCTTTATCAATATATTAATATATATGCTGTTTCTTTTGTGAAAAGCAGTTTGAGATCTCTGATCAAAATGGAAAAAAAGCCCACTTATATAAGCATATTGTGAGAAGGTAAGAACCTACAGCAGCATGAGAATTTGGAATTTTAGAAATGTAGGCCCTTGATTTTGTCTGAATATACAATATATGTAGAAAGGTATTTACATATTTGATGTAAACATCATTATCTATGTATGTAGGGCATAGCCTCTATAGACATGATGAATGAAATATTTGATGATCTTTTACTGAAATTATTGTGAGCTATTTATTCTCCCATTTTTTTTCATTTTTATTCTCGAGTAAAAGTGTGGTTTAATATTGAAGGTATCAGCACTTAAAATATAAATTTTGAATGTTTACATTTGTCCTTTTTTGAAGTACTAGTTTAAACTGAAAAATATGTGATAAAAATGCTCTACATTTATCACTGATGTAAATAGCTTTTCAGAATTCTGGAAATAAGTCTTCACTAAAAAATAATTTTACAGAAGCATTCACTAAATGTAATAGTTTCAGTACAAGGGTTCCCTGACATTGTCAGCAGATCCACTTCTGATTTTTTCCATGTCGGTTGTCACTATTTGTACATTCTATTTATTGTTATATTCCTAGACAGTAGACCAGTGCCAGGCAAGTTCAAGGGCTGTATTAGTATTTTAATGGGGAAAGTTTAGGTGTCAACTAGTCCCTGGGTGGCCCTTTATAACTTTCCCATCTAGAATGTCTTGGAGCTCTGGGAAAGAAGGGTTGATGGTGGCAGCATTCCATACGTCAATCTGCCTGCTCCTCAAGGTATAAGACCTTGATGTCATCTTGATCAGCTACTGGGTAGGAGAATTCTGCATTTATTTAATGCTATTTGCGTTGAACTGATCTGGATGGGTACCTTTGGAATTGAATAGGCGTCACTAGCCCTAAGGGGAAAAGCCTCAAGGCTCTCCTTGAAGGCAGTCTTTATTATGCAGATCTACACTTCTGGAAGCTTTCCCTCTCTCCTGTAAGCCATGGAATCTTTCTCCTTGTGTTAATGCGGGCTTTGTTTTAAACTCTGTAGGTTAGAGATTTGGGCTTCTCAGAAAAGCTGCCTTTTATATTTTTAAAAGTTGTATTTTAAAAATTAGATCTTGTAAATGTAGTGTAACTAGGAACTCCCCTTCCCCCCAAAAAGCCTCTTGCAGATATTATCTACAGAACTAGAAATTAGTTAACAATCCAAGCCTAAAAAAAAAAATTTTTTTTGACATTCTAGTTTACTTAACTTGATTTGTTACACAAAATTCCTTCCTTCTCCCCTTTTGTAAATACATTATTTTTTGTCAGATTGACATATAAATTATCAGGGATGATCCAGTTTGTTCACAGGTAACTAGAGTTTTCCATATTTTACATGCATACTTTACATATAGATTATGTATGATCTACTTTGTCTCCTTATAATGCATTTTGTTCAAATCTCTGAAGTTAATTTTTTTAGAAAAATTGGGTTAAATATATGTATATATATGTTTCTTAAGTGGGTAACCATAATTCCTTACTCAGATCTACATTATGTAGTTAAAATACAATATTTCTATTAATGATTTTTTAACATAAGTTAATAATGAGTTTTAGGTCTGTAGGTAAGGAGAGCCCTTTGTTACACTTAAACTGGGGAGGAAGGAAGAAATATAACTTTTATGAATGCAATGGTAAAGCAAGATTTTATTTGTATAAAGGAAGCCTTGGTAAAACATCAGCAAGAGAAGAATGAGATGGAGTCTCATATCAGAGAGACAGCATTGGAGGAGTTTAGATTACAAGCAGAACAATGGGAATCTGAAAGAAGAGAGTTACAATTCATAGTGCAGGTATTTTAAAAATAATTCGGCTCCTTAAATATGTCTTTTTAATGCTTATGATATTAAAATATTACATCAGTGCAATATTTGACTAGTTTACGCAAGGCAAAAATAAGTCCCAGTCTTTGATCTCTGAAGGCCATGTTTCATTTGTAGTTACATGACAATATGGGCAACTGTTACCCACAGATAGTTAGAATCAGAACTTCCATTGCAAAAATTATGTGATTTTGAGAAGGTCACGCACCCACGTGGTGTTTTATTTTTCCAATTTAAAATATGAGACTGTTAGCAGTTTTTAACAGAATAAAGAAATAGAACAACTGAATTTTAGATATCAAAGGATGGTTATAAATCATATAGTAAAGTGATTTTTGAACTATTTTTAAGAAGTACAGATTCTTACTCATGTGCTAATCCCTTGCTCCCCAACAGATAGAATCCCCAAGGCTTCAAGTAGTTCAGTTTGAAAGGCATTGATTGAGTCTAATCCCCATTATAGATGAATAGATGGAGATTATGATTCACTCTGGTGACAGACTGAGTGATTATTGTGGGAAAACATCACAGTCTCCAGATTCTCACTCCAGCATACTTTGCATCTTTCAAGTTTATATGTCAATTATTTTGAAGGAGAGATTGGAGAAATTCAAACTTTTTTATTCCTAACCAACTAAAAATTTCAAATGAATTTCTATCATTTCTTTTATTATTTTGTGATAAGACATTTTTCCAACACAAAAAGACAAACTGAAATGTAGTCCTCATATAGGTGTCAAATATGCTCATTCTTTGCAGAATGAAAAATCCCACCCAAAATGTATTTTGGAGTAGCTCTGTGTAAGAAATAGATCTCCAAGACAAAATGGCTGAAAACCTGAAGAGTGTAGGAGGCACCTGATTTTTTTTTAAGAGTGAAAGCTGGCCGGCTGAACACAGGGAAATACTGAATTTGTTGTATGTGTTCAGTATTCAGAATACCAATAAAAATCACAGCTTTCCCAAACCTTTTGTCTTTGGGCAATGCTTTTCTTCCCAGCCACTCCCTCTTAGAATTTGGAAAGACATTACAATCTCTTCTTAGACTTCTTGGTATTAGAGTCTATGATTTGTGTGGTTAGTTCTCTCATTCCTTCTTCATTCCCTAAGTACTTACTGAATTCCAGCTGTGGGTACTGAGGACAAAAAGTTGGTTAAAGTGTGATTTCTGTTCTAGGGAGAAAATATATTATAATATAATAAAATTTTGTACAAAATGCTGTGGGACCATAAAAGAAAAATTGATTAACTACCTGGGAGAATTGGGGGAATTCTCCCAAATTGGGGGAACAGAGTAGATGACATTTGCACTGTTGCTGGCAACTCTCTCAAAGGCTACCTGGAACAAAGAAGCATTTTCTTAAGTAAATGAAAATACCCCTTCATTTGTAAACTCAGAAATCTCCACTGCCACCAGTTAGAAGCCTGAAGCTTATAAACTATAATTCAATGACCTGTGATGTGATTTTGATGCAGTTTCCTAGCCATTCCTAGAAATCTCAGATGAAATATATGCAGTTATACTAGACTTTATATTATGAACTATTAAAAGAAATAGAAATTCTGCATCATTTTATTATTATGTGTAGGGAAGAATAGGGAAATATACACCTTAGTCACTACCACCTTTTGTAAGATAAATTGTATTATATAACTAAAATGTTCAGAGCTCTCTCACTCAATTTCTTTTCATATTAACAAAAGAAAATTGCTTTTCCTTTTATAAGCAAGTTTAAGAAACTATTTATATATGAAAAAGTATTTTTTTAAACAGCCTGAGAGATAGATTGAAATTCTTTTCTCTGTCTTGGCTGCTGATGGATTTAGGTTTCCATCTTATAATTGGGTGTTAGGATCATAGAGTGTTCTCTGTGTAGCTCTCTGAGGGAATTCAGTTTTTAAAATGTTTTAAAAAACCTTCCAAGTGAAACCCCATCTTTAACAGACAAAATTGGTATATGTTTCTCTCATCTGGGCTTTAGAATTCAAAGCCATTATAAAGAGAAAAATCTTAATTTTATGCCTTGTCTCTTTTCTTTCTCACTAAACAGAGGTTTACTTCTCTGGAATGTTAATGGGAAATCTAGTGGAGTTACCTCATTTTAAGAAAGTATTTCTCATTTTGTAAAAAATGCATAATAACATTCTTTGATAAACATAAAAATTCCATGCCTTTTTTTAGCATTGTTTGAAATTTCAAAACAAATCAAAGCTGTGGTAGTTTTAGAACAAAGTATTTTTTTGAAAAAAATATATCATTTTGTTTTTTTAATCTCCATTCTTTTAAATTTTTAATGTGAAATGACCATTTGCTTTTTTTTTATTCAGTTATTTTTTTTCTTTGTTCTTGCAATAGTGATGTGAACTTTGAGGATGCTCGTTTGCCCTAAGGTTTTCCATTATCGGCAGTGTGGGACATACAGGGAGCTGTTTTTAAAACATTGTGACTTTCTTTTGTCACTTTTCCTGTTCATTTCAATGTATAATTTATCAGTTGAATTGGAAGCACTTAGAAGGTGAACGTATATATATATTTTGTATTTATTTCATTTACAAAATTCTGTAACACAACCAGGGAATAAAATGATCCTTTCCTTATTCATTGACTAAATTTGGTTTGTGTATCTGTTGATGAAGGAGTGAGAGAGTTTGTGATAGTGAAGAACATGGGAAAGATAGATTGAAAATAATACATAAACTAGAGAAAGAGCACCAGGAGTGTGGAGGCAGTCAAGGAAGGGATCAGACCAGGTTTAAGCATTAGTAGGCTGAGGGTTGGGTGCAAACTGTCAGACACTGAGCCGGTAAGCACAGTTGTGATCTAGGGACAGCTTGGAGGAAGTTACACGGAAGTATTTCAGAAGTTGGCCTCAAATGATCTAGGGCAGCAAAGAGCATTTCTTTGTAGTTTCCTGGTTAACTATCTACTGATGCCCTGTGTAAGCATAGGGAATAGAAAGTGATTCTGGCCCTAGTACTGCCTGCTTCCAAACAGGAAATATCTTAATATTTAGTTTATACAGTTACTATATATTGTGCTCATTGTAAAAGTCCTCTAATTAAGGGAATTTTAAAAGCAGAAAGTGAGGGTCTTATCCCACTCCTCATCTAAGGAGTAACATATGTTACTGTATTTAAATAAATGAAATTATATTTCAGTAATATTTGGTATTCATTTTTTTATGTCCTTACATTACTCTTGTAGTATTTGCATGGTTTTCTGTCACGTGGAAGTTATAATATATTTTAAGAATCCCTTATTGGCAGACATTTTATTTTCTTCAAAGTTTTTTTCTTCTAATTAAAAATGATTCACTAACATTTTTGCTCATATCTTTGAGCTGTCATGCAAGTGATTCAGCTGTATAAATGTCTAGAAATGTAATTGCTTGGTCTGTGAGCTTATGGATTTATAATTGTGATAGGTATTACATATGGTTAGTACCAGTTTGTACAACTGCAAACACTTTTTGATTGTAGAATTGTTCTGCCTTGAGGATTTATAGAGGAGGAGCTTGTTTTGGCTCTTTCAGGAGATAACCATGTAGTAGATTAAGGTTGTAACTAGCTGTATTGATGGATTTCGTAAGTTAGGAAGGAGGAGTACTTTAGCTCTGATACACTTTAAACATCTGTATTTATTCAACTTTGAAACCACATTTTGGAGTCTGAGAAATGTTTATATGAATACATATAAAGAATTATATTTTGGGGGGCTAAAATATTTTTAGTTCAATATCTCCCTCTGGTGGAAAAAAGAAAAACTTTCTCAATTTCCAATTCCTTAATACAATTTTACTTGTTACCAACACCACACCACTTTTACCACAGTAAGGATCCAGGTAGCTTTTAGTTTGATTAGAAATAAATTATATGACAAAAATTAAAAAAATTTAGTTTGGAGGAGGCAAATTAAGCTTGGTGAGATATAGTTCTTCTGAAATTTTCTTGTATGCTATGATAAGCCCCAGAATTGAGTTATATTTATAAAACTATAAAATAAAAATATTTGTATTTGAATACACAAAAAAGTAACAGGGAGTGTTTGGCATAGTTGTTTCAGAATGAACAACAAACAATAAATTGTTTATCATTGACAACTGACTATTCTGAAGCATTTCACCATTTCATCACCACCTCATTCCCAAAAGATAATCATAATGAAATTGGTGTTTAATTTTCTGTATAGGCTGATAGTACATTATATTGTTTTAGTATTTTGTGTGTTTTAAGGATATACATAGAGAACCATTCAGTATGAATCTTTGTCTAATTTATCTTTCTCACTTGTGTTTTTGAGAATTATACTACTTAAACTAGCTCTGGTTCTTTCAGTATACTTCTGTATAATATTTTATCCAATGCATGTATAATAATTAATTTATCTATTATTGGATTGATTGAGGTTTAAGTTCTTTACAAATTGTTCTCCCAAGTGGTTGTACCAATTTAAGAGAAGAGTTTCTTTTCCCTTACAGTCTCTTGAATACTTAGCATTTTTCATATTTAATTTCCTTTGCAATAGGATGTGTGTGAAATTGTGTCTTGTACTTGTTTAAGTTTCTATTTCCCTGACAATGAGTACATTTGTATTTTGAAACATTATTTATTGGCCATTCATATTTCTTCTTTTGTGAACTGCCAGTTTATGTTTTCTCCCTTGGGATTTTTTGTATATTTTTATTGACTATATGAGCTTTTAATTTATTTGCTTACTAACCTTCTGTTATTTCTATTCCAGTGGCAAATATCTTTTTCCTCTTTGTGGAGACATGAAAAAATGTACATTTGTGTGTGATACACAGTTTTAGATTTTAATGTAGTTGACTTTATCAGTCCTTTATTTTAGGAAGAGTTGTCTTTGGTATTTTCAAAAATATATCTGGTTTTGGGAGGAGATTTCCACTGCTCTACTCACGCCGCCATCTTGGCTCCACCCCCCTGTCAGTCCTTTATTGATAGTGTTTTTTGTGTCTTATATAACTTAAAGTCATAAAGAGAATATATTTTTTTTTCTACATACAGCATGAGATGAGATTTAATTTCATTTTCTCTAAGTGGATCACCAAATGTCCCTGTACTAGTTATTCAACTTTCGATTTATAATGTCATCTTTCTCATATACTCAGTTCCTTTATATCTAAGGTTTGGTTCCTGGGCACTCTGTTCTGTTTCACTTATGTATTTGTCTACCTCTGATTCAAAGCAAAATTGTTTTGTTTAACTTGGCTTTCAAATAGGTTTTGATATCCAGCAGGGCAGTTCCCCTCTCCATATTCTTAATATTTTTGTATCTGGTTTTCATTATCTTTCATTCTTTCATAAGAATTTATGTATTCCCACTCCTAGGAATTTATCCTAAGAATATAAGTACTCAGATTTAAAAGACAGATGCACCCCTATGTTTATCACAGCAGTATTTACAATAGCCAAGATATGGAAGCAACCTAAGTGTCCATCAGTAGATGAATGGATAAAGAAGATGTGGTACATATACAAAATGAAATATTATTAAGTCATAAGAAGAAAACAAATCTTACCATTTGCAACAACATGGATGGAGCTAGAAGGTATTATGCTCAGTGAAATAAGTCAGGTGGAGAAAGACAAGTACCAAATGATTTCATTCATCTGTGGAGCATAACAACAACAAAGCAAAAACTGAAGGAACAAAACAGCAGCAGACTCACAGAACCCAAGTATGGACTAACAGTTACCAAAGGGAAAGGAACTGGGAGGATGGGTGGGGAAGGGAGGGATAAGGTGATTAAGGGGCATTATGATTTACACACATAATATGGAGGGGGGCATGGAGAAGGCAGTATAGCACAGAGATGACAAGTAGTGATTCTATAGCATTCTTACTATGCTGATGGACAGTGACTGTAATGGCGTATATGGTGGGGACTTGGTAATAGGGGGAATGTAGTAACCATAATGTTGCTCATGTGAAACTTGAGCATAAGATTGTATTTCAATGATACCTTAAAAAAATACATATATATAGATACCATAACACATCTACCCAATGGGCAAAAATTTTAAAGTATGGCAGTACCAAGTATTAGTAAGGATGCAGAGAAATGTAGACTCATGCGTACTCCTGGTGGGAGGGCTAGTTAGTTCAACAACTTTGGAAAAGACCAGTTTGAAAATACAGCTTGACAATGTACACACCTCAGGACCCCACAATTCCACTTCTTAAAAAAGAAAAGAAAAAGGATTTCCATATTCTTAATATTTAGGAGAGTTATTCTTAGTCTTTTAATTTTCCATGTGAGTTTGAGAATTGGCTTGTTATCTTCTATAAGAAGGCTTGCTGTAATTTTGATTGGAATGAAATTGGATTTATAGGTCAATTTGGCATAATGTTGACATCTTTAATTTATTATATTTTTCTTCTATTTTCTGGGATATTTCTTCAATTTTATACTGCAACTTTTCTATTGAATTTTCATTTCTGCTTTTGGGTTTTTAATTTTCAAGAGCTCTTTCTTGTTCTTTGACTATACTTTTTATAGTGTACTTTTCTTGTTTCATGTTGGTAGTATCTTATTTTCACTCTGTGGGGATGGAAGTCATACTTGTTTCTGAAGGTGATTTTCTTTCCCCCTTCCTTGACTGTCTTTGATTGCGGAGTGTTCGGCCCCATTTGTCTGAGGTTCACCTGAGAGAGATTCTTTCCTCAAGTGTTTGATGATCCTCTGATGTCCCTTGGCTGTGTGTTGTATTTAAAGATGAGGCACTGAAAAGCTGAGAGGAAACCACTTCCATTTATTTGGAGGAAACTTAAAAATGCCGGTCTTGGTAGCTGTCTCCTGTTGGACAGGTAGTTTCTCCCAAAGGAGTCTACTAGTCTCCTTCTTAGGGGGCTTGGACCTGAAGTGTAGCAGTCAGTGTTCTGGGAGCTGAAGGAAGGGAGCCATGAGGTCTCACTGCCCACTCTGCAGATTTCACCTGATCTCCTAATTTTTAATGAGACCTTCAGTTTTATCTGTTGTCATGACTTCAAAACCTCTTTAGGTCAGCCTCTCTAGTTAGTAACCTCTGTGACAGAGAGGGGCATTTATTAGGAGGGAGCTGGCAGAGGTGATCTGAGGAAACAGCAAACTGTTGCTTATAGAGGCCTCCAACAGTGTTCCATATTCATTTCTGCCCCAAGGCTTGTCTTCAGGCATCATTGGTGCTTCCAATTTCTAATCTTTTGGGGATATGTATCAACTTGCTCCTAGGCTCTTCCTTTTTTAAGTGTTTAGCAAAGTTGAGACCGCTGAAGCCTAAGTCACGTATCACTTGTCTGTTTGCTTTTCCTCTTCCAAATCTGCTTTTGACATTTCTTGTTGGCTGTCATCTTCTACACAAATCATTTTTATTCTATTTTGATTTAAGTGGGAGTTCAGGAACAAGCAGAGATGATTGGAGATAATTGATTCAATTTGTTTAACTGGTGCTCCTGTCTTTCTGCTCTGTTGCTTATGATCTGATTGACCTATAGCCTCACCTTTCATTTCATATTTGAAATCTGGTTTTACTGAATGTTTTCAGTATTAAAAGCAGCTAGACTGTTTGATTTCATAGCTATAGTAGTTCATTTTTCTTCCCAGTTTTTGAGACACAATTGACATATAATATTGTATAAATTTAAGGTGTACAACATAATGGTTATGTATGTGCTGCAAAGTGATGATCACAGTGAGTCCAGCTAATGTCCATTACCTCACCGTTAATGAAATTTTTTCTTGAGTGAGAACTTTTAAGATTTACTCCCTTAGCAACTTTCAAATGTACAATACCGTATTGTTAACCATAGTTATAATGCTGTGCATTACATTCCAAGAATTTACTATCTTGTAACTGTAAGTCTGTACCTTTTGACCACCTTCACCCATTTCATGCATTTCCCCTGTCCCGCACCCTGCCTTTGGCAATCACCAATCTGATTTCTGTTTCTGTAAGTTTGAGTTTGGTTTATTTAGATTCCACATGTAGGTGAGATTATACAATATTTGTCTTTCTTTGTCTGACCTATTTCACTTAGAATGATACCCTCAAGGTCCACTGATGTTGGTGCAAATAGCCCAGTATAATAAGCCACGATTGGCTTTTAAAAAAAAATAAGATTCAGTTTATACTTGCATGGAATGATATTCATGCTCTTTGATTAGTGGAGTGATGTTTGGAATGATTGTACATTGTCTTATATCATTTATAAATAGAATGGGAATCACAAGTCATATCTCATGAGACTTCCTAAATACTTTAATTTCTCTTTTATTTTAATAAATGTTGTTTGAAGTAATTGTCATCAACTAGGATATAAGCATTTTTGGTCATAGACTTCATTTTGTTTTTATTTCAAATTACTGGGTTTACTTTGTGATAACCCTTGTAAATTGCTGTTTATTCATTTTAAAGTATACATAGTACTTTAAGTGGATGATTTAAAGTTGGGGATTATTTTAGTCAAGTAGGCCTATAATTTAACAGTGAACTTGAATTAACATTGAAACTATTGACTGCTTGAAAAAGGGTTACATCGCATATAGAACAATAATAGTATCTGATGCTTATATAGTGCTGAATAGTCTTAAAAGTGCTTTCATATGTGAAGGTACTCTTATGGTGAAATAGATTATTTAAAGCTATTCATAATACCATCTGTTGCTGTCTCTGTGGGCCGCGGCGGTGACAGCACACATTTGCTCTGTTGCACAGTTTTGTTCTTACCTATGGTAGTGTAAAGATTGAAAATGTGTAAGTAGATGAACTTATGTATATTGAGAAGTTTCCATTATCCAAAGAAAATAATTCTTAAGTGTTCATGTGTAGTCAGCTATAGAACAGTAATCCTGTGAACGAGGGGATATGGAAAGAAGGAATCAAATTTTATCCTTCATTCCTCGACTGTGGGCTATACTGCTGGGTACTTTCTTAATTAGCATCTTTTGTAGAGAGTTGTATTTAGTGCTTGTAACATTCTTTCTTAGATTCTGTTGATACCTTTTGAGTGGCTAGGGATTTTTGGAACCATGCATAAAAATATATATGTGTGTATATCCCTGAATAAGATTATGCTGGCGAGGAGAGGAGGGAAAGAGGCCTTTGTCTAAGACCTTTAGTGAGAATGATGAATCCAGGTTAGTTACTGGCAAAAATAGCTTTGGTAAGTGTGTTGACTTTATGTTTGAACTTGCATAAAACTCAACTCTGATTTCTGAGTTTAGTTGGAAAAGGAGATTGAGAAATTCAAGATACCTGTTGTTATTTTTCTTTCAGTAGTACAGAAAAGATACGAAAACTTGAAAACTGAAGAGGAAACACAGCCATCTAGTGGATGCAACTTTAAGAGCTACAAGCATAAAGTTCTATGGGCTCACATAAAAATCTCTCAAGGGTTATTATTAGGCATTCAAGCTAATTATTCCTTATCACACAAAGGAACAATATACAGTTGTATTAACTAAATATTTTAAAATTTTAATGAGAGGGGAAAACATTATATATGGCAGTTGAACAACAGCATTATGTAAATACTCTCAGAGATCAATTGAACTAGCATAACATTATAGTAATATGCATTTTCAATTGTATTATGTATTAATCAGATTTTTTTCAGTTGTAAAATTTCAGTACTGATTTTTAATGCATGTATATTATGAAACATTGCTGGAAAATAGCTAAGATTCTTTTTTATTTTATTTTATTTTTATATTTTTATTTTTGTATCAATGTACAATTACATGAGAGATTTTCTTGTCAATATAAATTAACCTATTATTATCATTGAAGCACAGATTTAGTTACTCTGTATTCTATAGAATAAATTTTAGTCATTGTTGGTTTATAAACTTTATTGATGCAAAATTGAATTATTTTCTAGGAACAAGATAGTGCTGTACGAAATATGCATGAGAAAGTAGAAAAATTAGAAGCTGAACATATGAACTGCTCTGACCTTTTACAGCGACAAACAAGTGAACTTGAATTTAGCACTCAACGAGAGGAACATCTTAGAAAAGAATTTGAGGTATAGTTTCCTCATTCTTTTACATATGTATTTGTTAACCAGTCAGTAACTTAAGGTCAGAGAAAGTGTTACTCTGCAGTAGGTCCATTTGGCAAATTTATAAGGTCTGTCCTCAGAAAATACCACGTCCTTCTGGGATCCTCCTCCGTCCCCTCATGGCTCTGTAGGCCTGTGGCACAGCTGTTGTGGGTACTTCTTCATTATGCTTGGTTGATTCTCTGTTCCCAGGTTCCATGCCTCCTTTATTTTGATAGTGTACATAGTCTAGTAGTTTTTAAAGATAGGATATATGGGAGCTAAGTTTTTTGTGATCTTGCATGTCTGAACTTGTTTTTTTACCTGCCATTTTCTTTTTCTGGGTCAGCCTTGCTTTTTTTTTTTTTTTTT